CTACGTCACTTGCTAGACTACTCCACTTCCTGACAACTCTATGACTAAAGAAATACTTCCTAACATCCCTTTGACTCATCTGAGTCTTCAGCTTCCAATTGTGACCTCTTGTGTCTGTGTCCCATCTCTGGAACATCCTGTCCCTCTCCACCTTGTCTATTCCTCGCAGTATTTTATGTCGTTATCATGTCTCCCCTGACCCGCCTGTCCTCCAATGTCGTCAGGCCAATTTCCCTTAACCTTTCTTCACAGGACATTCCCTTTAGCTCTGGGACTAGTCTTGTTGCAAACCTTTGTAGTTTCTCTAATTTCTTGACGTGCTTGACTAGGTGTGGGTTCCAAACTGGTGCTGCATACTCCAGTATGGGCCTGACGTAGATGGTATACAGAGTCTTGAACGAATCCTTACTGAGGTATCGGAACGCTATCCGTAGGTTTGCCAGACGCCCGTATGCTGCAGCAGTTATCTGACTGATGTGCGCCTCAGGAGATATGCTCGGTATTATACTCACCCCAAAATCTTTTTCCTTGAGTGAGGTTTGCAGTCTTTGTCCACCTAGACTATTCTGTGTCTGCGGTCTTCTTTGCCCTTGCCCAATCTTCATGACTTTGCATTTGGCAGAGTTAAATTCGAGAAGCCAGTTGCTGGACCAGGCGTCCGGCCTTCGTAGTCCTGATTTTCGACTGATTTGATACTTCTCATTAACTTCACATCATCTGCAAACGAGGACACGTCTGAGTCTGTCCCTTCCGTTATGCCATTCACATATACCAAAAACAGCACAGGTCCTAGGACTGACCCCTGTGGAACCCCGCTTGTCACAGGCGCCCACTCTGACACCTCGTCACGTACCATGACTCGTTGTTGCCTCTCTGTCAAGTATTCTCTGATCCATTGCAGTGCCTTTCCTGTTATGTGTGCCTGATCCTCTAGCTTTTGCAGTAACCTCTTCTGAGGAACTGTGTCGAAGGCCTTCTTGCAGTCCAAGAAAATGCAGTCTATCCACCTCTCTCTCTCTCTCTCTCTCTCTCTCTCTCTCTCTCTCTCTCTCTCTCTCTCTCTCTCTCTCTCTCTCTCTCTCTCTCTCTCATCTCTCTCTCTCTCTCTCTCTCTCTCTCTCTCTCTCTCATCTCTTTTCTCTCTCTCTCTCTCTCTCTCGTGTGTATGTGTGTGTGTGTGTGATTTCTCGAGGTAACTCTGGGGACCTCGTGGAAATTTATAATTACCCAGGTGACTGTGGTTCACAGTGTTCCACTGTCACCCTGGTCTACATACTGTCACCCTGGTCTACATACTGTCACCCTGGTCTACATACTGTCACCCTGGTCTACACACTGTCAACCTGGTCTACACACTGTCAACCCGGTCTACATACTGTCACCCTGGTCTACACACTGTCACCCTGGTCTACACACTCTCAACCTGGTCTACATACTGTCACCCTGGTCTACATACTGTCACCCTGGTCTAAACACTGTCACCCTGGTCTACACACTGTCAACCTGGTCTACATAATGTCACCCTGGTCTACATATTGCTACCCTGGTCTACACACTGTCACCCTGGTCTACTTACTGTCACCCTGGTCTACACACTGTCACCCTGGTCTACACACTGTCACCCTGGTCTACATACTGTCACCCTGGTCTACACACTGTCACACTGGCCTACACGCTGTCACCCTGGTCTACACATTGTCATCCTGGTCTACATACTGTCACTGTGGTCTACATCGCTGGACTCACTAAAGGTGACAAGTAATTTGCTTCCTGTCCACCTGTGACTGTCACCTTGTGTGGAGTCCCCAGACCTGACCTCGGTCCCCAGGGAGACTAACCACCAGTCCCCAGGGAGATTAAACGTCTGTCCCCAGGGAGACCAAACCTCGGTCCTCAGGAAGACCAAACCTCGGTCCCCAAGAAGACCAAACCTCGGTCCTCAGGAAGACCAAACCTCGGTCCTCAGGAAGACCAAACCTCGGTCCACAGGGAGACTAAAAATCAGTCCCCAGAGAGACCAAACTTCGGTCCCCAGGGAGACTAAACTTCGGCCCCCAGGGAGACCCAACCTCGGTTCTCAAGGGGACTAAAACTCGATCCCAAGGGAAACTAACCATCAGTCCCTATGGAGACCAAACCTCAGTCCCCAGGGAGACCAAACCTCGGTCTCCAGGGAAACTAACCATCAGTCCCCATGGAGACCAAACCTTAGTCCCCAGGGAGACCAAACCTCGGTCCCCAGGGAGACAAAACCTCGGTTCTCAGGGAGACCAAACCTCGGTTCTCAGGGAGACCAAACCTCGGTCCCCAGGGAGACTAAACCTCGGTCCCCAGGGAGACTAAACATCGGTCCTCAGGGAGACTAAACCTCGGTCCCCAGGGAGACTAAACCTCGGTCCCCAGGGAGAATAAACCTTCACATGCGTCATGTGTCAATATAAGGGTGACCTTGTGAAGGTGACAGGAGAGGAGGGGCAGTAACGTACCTTGTGAAGGTGACAGGAGAGGAGGGGCAGTAACGTACCTTGTGAAGGTGACAGGAGAGGAGGGGTAGTGACGTACCTTGTGAAGGTGACAGGAGAGGAGGGGCAGTAACGTACCTTGTGAAGGTGACAGGAGAGGAGGGGTAGTGACGTACCTTGTGAAGGTGACAGGAGAGGAGGGGCAGTAACGTACCTTGTGAAGGTGACAGGAGACGAGGGGCAGTAACGTACCTTCTGAAGGTGACAGGAGAGGAGGGGCAGTAACGTACCTTGTGAAGGTGACAGGAGAGGAGGGGCAGTAACGTACCTTGTGAAGGTGACAGGAGAGGAGGGACAGTAACGTACCTTGTGAAGGTGACAGGAGAGGAGGGGTTGTAACGTACCTTGTGAAGGTGACAGGAGAGAAGGGGCAGTAACGTACCTTGTGAAGGTGACAGGAGAGAAGGGGCAGTAACGTACCTTGTGAAGGTGACAGGAGAGGAGGGACAGTAACGTACCTTGTGAAGGTGACAGGAGAGGAGGGGCAGTAACGTACCTTGTGAAGGTGACAGGAGAGGAGGGGCAGTAACGTACCTTGTGAAGGTGACAGGAGAGGAGGGACAGTAACGTACCTTGTGAAGGTGACAGGAGAGGAGGGGCAGTAACGTACCTTGTGAAGGTGACAGGAGAGGAGAGGCAGTAACGTACCTTGCGAAGGTGACAGGAGAGGAGAGGCAGTAACGCACCTTGTGACGGTGACAGGAGAGGAGGGGCAGTAACGTGCCTTGTGAAGGTGACAGGAGAGGAGGGACAGTAACGTACCTTGTGAAGGTGACAGGAGAGGAGGGGCAGTAACGTACCTTGTGAAGGTGACAGGAGAGGAGGGGCAGTAACGTACCTTGTGAAGGTGACAGGAAGGAGGGGCAGTAACGTACCTTGTGAAGGTGACAGGAGAGGAGGGGCAGTAACGTACCTTGTGAATGGACAGGAGAGGAGGGACAGTAACGTACCTTGTGAAGGTGACAGGAGAGGAGGGGAAGTAACGTACCTTGTGAAGGTGACAGGAGAGGAGGGGCAGTAACGTACCTTGCGAAGG